TTTTTTGGGTGGTACTGGGGTTTGAACTCAGGGCTTCACATGTCTAGGTAGGTGCTCTACCACTTGAGTCACTCTGCCAGCCCGTTTTTTGCTCTTGTTATTTTTGAAATCCGGTGTCATGAACTATTTAGCCTTAAACCACGATCATCCTGATTTCTGCCTCCTGAGTAGCTAGGATTACAGGTATGAGCCACAGTGCCCAGCCTAGATTGCGTTATTTTTAAAAATGACTAGATACTGTTTTGTTGAGACTCCTTGAAATGATACTTCTCATGAAATAATGGAATTTAAACTAGATTTCATATTGTCTTAAAAGTAAGCTGTATTCTTTAAGCATTAAATCCTAGAGCCCCTTGTATTTGTGCTGATTTAGGTTTTTGGCCTTGTCTCCCATCTTTTAAATGCAAACATTTACACTTTTCATACTTCAGAACAGATTATCTTGTGTGCAGAGCAAAGAATTAAGATCTGTGTTGGCTGATGTTTTTAGTGCTTTTTGTTCCATGTTGAGACTAATGAACTCATTTAATCTCTTGATACGAGTGTTTCCACTCTGAAAAGTTGGAAGGAAGAACAGTTTTTAGATAAATTATTTTTTAAACTTTGGTGATAGTATCTATTGAGCACATAGTTTTTGGTAGGCAGAAAGAAGAGGAAGGTGCTACATAGTGACGGGGCTTGAGGAGTTCTAGTATACTTTTATGAAGAATGAAAAATATATCAGTCTGTGTTAGTTTAGGAAATGTGTCCTGGTAGATTTGTTTATATCTTACTAAGTAACTACATTTTCATTTAAGTAAGTTACCTTAGAATTAAATTATCCAGCTAACATAAAGAAGCACATAATTTATTTTAAAATCAGAAGAAACAGTAAAGGTATATTTGGGAAACGGGGAAGGGGAGATTCTTACAGAGGCTTTATATAACTTCACAAATGAATGTAAAAACTATCAGTCCAGTATAATTTTTTTAAAAAGGTAAGCCAGTATTCTTGTGAAAAGAATCAACACATTCTCCTACTGTCTGAATGAACAGTCGAGTAAGAAAAGGTACCTGGTTTTAAAAGCTTCCTCAACATTCTGTCATGTAGCTGTGGAGATACCAATTCTGCAATTTAAACATATATCTTTGAACAAGAGAACAAGTTGTATTGATTAGAGAAAAGTTTTATGTAAGTAATATTTTTAAATTTTATTTGCGATAACAAAATGCAGTCATTTTAGTTCATAGGGGCTTGGGGGAAAATTTAGTGAATTTAAAAGTGAATGTATCTACATTGTACATGTTTTACTTGCTTTTTAGGTTATGAAGGTGTTGTTTGCTTTCTTAAAATAGAAAGACCCTAAAATAGTGTTGTTAGCTGGATAAAATGTTTTTTAAATTATCAATTTAATTCTAGAAAATTAGCATCTTAACATAGATATGATAAAATGTAAACTCCAGTGTTAGTTTCTAAAATTACTTTCATCTATTTAAAGTTCAAGATACCATATGTATCTGTTTAGGTATTTATCTAATGTGGCAATTCAAAGGCTCTTTAGAGTACGGTGATAATCTTGAAACATAAGTTCAGTTATAGCTTTGTCAGTTAAAATCCCCCTAAATTCTGCTCAGTCTTGTCTGCTTTATGGTCAAATATATAAAATAATCAAATTGCTAAGATTCTGAGTCTAACTTGTTTATAATGGAGTCTAACTTGTTAAAAAGTAAGAGAGAAATTTACTTTTTGAAATATAATATTAAATTTATGAATTTATATAAAGCTCCTTTTTGCTTTCCTCAAGATAGTAGAGGTAGTTAGAATAATTTTCCAGTAGTTTATTGGGAAACTTCTCATTAAACAGAAAGCACTTAGAAATCCAGCATGCTTTCTGCCGAAGTATATCCTTAAACTCTAAATAGGAGTGAAAAGGCATAGAGAGTGGGGGTATTGTAGATTGTGTTTTTAGCAAGTTCTCCTGGAAAAAATCATCACCACTTTCAGTTTGATTTGTTTCATTTAATTCTTGCCACATATACTTCTTAAGTCTTTATATGTTTTGTATTGAAGTAATCAGTGTTGAGCCTTTTCTTTTCATTTTGTAATCTAAACTGTCTGATCTACACTGAGTACTGAACTGTTTATTAGACCCATACTATTCAATAGTTAAAGCATAAGAAATTTACTACATTTTGTATTGATTTAATATTAATGTTAATCTAAAATCTTTGGGTGCAATGTGTCACATCTGTTTTGTATTCCTCTGTTTAAAAGAAGTGGCAGTTTGGTATTTGGAGGAATATTTATTATCTGAGTGTTTTTCTTTGTAACAGTTTCCCTCAGTCTATTGAGAATTATAACCTCCAAAAGACAGTGAATCACCCTGCAAATTCTCAGGTACCCAATTACTGAGGGCACATTTAATTAGAATTTTAATTTACTATTTAAATTCTCTTTCCTTAAATAATTGTAACTCTGGAGGTTTCTAAAAAAAAGGAAATAAATTTGAGGTAAAATTAAAAAAATATATTTTCTCTTAATAATAAGTCCTACCTGCCCTTCATGGATACTCTAGTTTTTTAGAAAAGACTTCATTAGATTGAGTGTTGATTTGTGTTTGAGATAGAATTTTCTGTGGCTTGTGACTGAATATTCTTATCCTAAGGTCGTGTTTTATAACCTTTTCTGGGGTCATGGATTTCTTTAGGTAATCAGCGAAAGCCATATCCCATTTTCCTAAGGCAGAACGTGCATAAACACAAACATTTTACATATAGTTTTATTAAGCCTCCTTTTCCCCCTGCCCAGGGCCCCAGGTCAGGAAGCTGCTACACTGAAACTAAAAAAATCTCTTCTAGTGTGCTAGTTTTAGTATCAAATTAGTATGTCACACTTAAGAGTTTTCTTCATTTCAAACTTTAATGTTACATTTTTCTTCTTGATTATTATGTAGAAGATAAGCATAATTTAAATATTGAGGAAAAAGCACAGTTTCCTTTTATTTTTAAGTTGGTACCTGAAATTATAGAACATATAATACTTTAGGTTCTACCTTATGTTCTTAAGAAAATAAAACTCACTTTATCTTTGGGTCAAAGGTGAAGAAAGTAGAAGATAGGAGTTCTTATTGATCTCTTGTTAGAGAAGGTCATTCTTCTTTAGAAAAGATGTTGCATTGTTATTTGGCAAACAAAAAATGGGTTCTCATTTTAATGAAAGGTTGTGAAACTATTTTAGAGTTATGCTGGTTAAGAGCTCAAACTTGACCATCAAGTAATTTAGGATCCTAATCCAGCTTAGTTGCTTACCAGCTATATGGCCTTGAGCTCCTTATTTGCCTGTAAAATAGGATCTAATCCATTAAATGAAATGCTTTTTATAAAGCACTTGGTTTCATGCTTTGTATAAAATTTGCATTCTGCCCTGCTCAGTGGCTCATGCCTGTAATTCCAACTGTTTGGGAGGCTGAGATTGGGAGGATTGAGGTTCAAGGCCAGGTGGCAAAAAAGTAAGAAAGACCCCATCTCAGGAAAGAAAAAAAAAAAAAGGCTGGGTTTAGAGGCAGGCACCTGGCCTTTTTTCCCAACCATGTGAGAAGCATTAAGCAGGAGGATTGCAGCCTAGGCTGATCCAGAGAAAACTATGAGACCTAATCTCAAAAATAACTCAAGCAAAAAGGGCTAGAGGCACAGCTCAAGTAATAGAGTGCCGGCCTAGCAAGTAAGATGCCCTGAAATCAGACCCCACGACTGCCAAAAAAAAAAATGCATTCAGTAACTGTATCAGCTCAATGATTGATGAGAGACAGGATGAGCAAAGCCATATTTTTCAATCACAGTGCTCATTTTCCCATCATGAAATTCAGGATAGTAGATCTTCATGCAAAAAGATAAATCCTCATGTCCTCTAGAATAATCCCAAATCTTAATGTCAAAACTTAGTGAAGAGTCTTCTCCAAAGACAAGGAGTAGCAAACCAACTTTTCCACATTTTATTTCTCAGCGCTCAATTGTTACAGTGAGGCAATATGTTAAAAGTTATCCACTAAATTGGTCTCATATAATTGAAGAAAATATTGAGGAGAAAGAAAGGGAGAGGTTGCTAAGAGTGTATTAAAAAATTGAGCACTAACATGTTTCTGCTTTTAAATCTTGACACCTAGATTGTCATGTCATAGAGCTTGTGTATACTTAAAAGGATATGGCTTTGTTTGCATATTAGGTCATAAAGAAGAACTGTAGTTTAAAAGTGTTTGTAAAACCATATAAATGTGAATCGTCATACAGATGTCATCTGTAAGAGTGTTCTTATTGTGGTCTGTAAAGTATTTGGAGAAATACTTTCATAGAAGAAAGGAAGAGAATGGTTTGTATAATGCTTTGATTAAGTAAATTATGAAATGCAATGGTTTGACACCTGCCTAAAGTGAAAAAGCTTCAAGTTCACCAAAAGTATAATTCCAGACCGTCCTGAAAAGAAGTACAATGAGATCCTTTCTGGTCTTCTTTTTTATGTGTGATTGCTAATTATCATTGGTAATAACAATGACAGTGTTTGTGGCAATGCTTTTATTTACCTGTATGACTGTACTTTCCAAGATGCTCTGGAATGATTAATTTAAATGGGAGTCATAAATGTCATCAGCAATAGATTCTAGACACAGGAAAAGCTAAGTATATTATGATAATTTTGAAGTTGGCACCAGAGGAAAATATTCATTGTGTTCATCAATAAACTGCCTCTCAATACCTTTGGCAGAGAAATCAACAGAATGAACTCATCATGGATTTGAGCCTGTGTATTTCCTATGTGGGGAAAAAAAATCATTGCTTAATGACTTTGAATTCGTGGAGTATTACATACATAAGGTATCATTGAGATATAAGGACACGTTACCCTGGTTTTTTTTTCTTGTAATACATGCTTTTACTCACTTTTTTTCACTCACTTTTTTTTGTTTAATATTCTTGGACCAGGCATAAAGTTTGGAAAATAATGTTTCCCTTTGCTTTCTTCTCAGTATTGTCAGTGAAGCTGGAGCTTCAATCTACAGTGTCAGCCCTGAAGCCAACAAAGAGATGCCAGGACTGGATCCTAACCTGAGAAGTGCAGGTAAGAAGCTGTGATCCATGGCAAAAAAACATGTGATTCTGAACTTGCACATGCGACAATCTAAATATTTTAAATACCCAAGAAATTGTAAAAGATCTATGACATGCATGAGAATTGGCAAATTAGAAAGAAAGTGGCTGATTGGAGTAATAACTGGAATTATGGAAAAGAAAGGAAAAATACTGTCCTGTTTATAAAGAGCACCACAATGCTCTAGAGAATAGTGAAAAATTAGCCTAAAAAGTCTTTTGTAAAATTGAATTCCAGAGTTTAATAATAAAAATTATAAAAGACTACAGTTTTTTATTATTAATACAAAACATTAATTACTGTGGCTTTTGTTGGCAGTAAGTAACATCAAAAGTTGTAGCTCAAGTGCCTGAATATACACAGGCCTTCAGTTTATTGCTAAATATTTGTCAAATGAGTAGTCTCTCTTGGCTTCCTAGTAGAGGTTGTCATTTGATAGTATATTGCTTTCAAAAGCCTTCTTTTATTTTAGTCGTATTTGATTGCTTTGATTTCTGTGATGTGGAATAGTTAAAACTTACATTCAAAGAAGTTAAAATACTTTTGATATAGCTTGTGGGAGCAGTTGGTATATAAATAAAATATTAGATCTGGCTAGAGCATTTTTCTGTGTAATAGGGGATATTTAGATCACTTTGTTAGTAATGAACCTCTTATTTTTTTCCCTAAATATTCCCATTGGATTTCATTGGCTGTTCTTTAAATCTGTACCCAGATTATACATTTTTGAAAAGTTGCTCTCATCTAAAGCTAAAACTTTTTTTTTTTAACTGTCAAAAGACTTTGTAGCTTCCCTTCAGTTGTTTGTTCTGGGACACAATCCCCTGTCTAAATTTATCTTCTCAAACTTAAATTCCAGCTGAATGTGAAGCTCTTCCCTGTCACACCAGCTCAATTTGGTTCTTAGGAGCTCCTTAGGAGCTCTTTGGTACTTGCCTTATAATAACAATAGTAGTGACAATGGTAGGAGGAGTAGAAATAGCCAGCCTAGTAGGAACTGATAATTCTAATCTTTCTTAAGCACTACTGTAAATGAAACATTGTGGGGATGTACATTACCAGTATTACTTCATTTTATCCTCACAATTGCCCTGAGACAATATCATTATTCTCACTTTACAGGTGAGGATACTAAGGCTTAAAGAGGCTACACATTCAGTAATGTGTGTGTGTAATATTTGTGTACCTAATGTCGATAATAAAATGATGCTTTTCTTTTTAAAAAATAAAATCTAGAACTTCCCAAGTTGTTGTTAAAAGAATATCTTTCAGCTGAGTCTTGGAAAAAATATTTGTGCTGTATTTTCTGGGAGGCAGTAATCCCTCAGTCCTCCAACTAAAAGGTCTGCTATCTCTTCCTAACCACTGGCCCATGTTGGTGCATAATGGCAGTTATAGGTGAAACCAGATTATATCATTCCAATAAGACCCTATGAAAATAGAAGACAATAAAAAGGGGATCCACCATGGCTCTAATTGCCTCTATTTCAAAGTCTAGTTAGCTGTGTCTTCAGTACGTGACTCACTCTAGGTATGGCTTCCTTTTATGTCTCAACTTGCTTCTCTGTGGCAGTGATGATTAATCCCTATCAACTCAAAACACCTACCAAGATACTTTGAGTAAAGTCCAGTCCTAAAGATACATATTCAAAGAGTGGACTCTCCACTCATGGTTTCCTACAGCCCACTTCCTTTTCAAGTATTGTTTTTGACTAGAATCTTCCTGTTTCCTAGTGATTAATACCAAGGATGACTTTATACTTTATTTGAGGCCTCGAGTACCTCCAAGTGTAGATTTTACCTTTAAACACTACTATGGTTCAGGTTATGACTTGTCCCCAGATTCACGTGCGTGAAGGTTGGTCCCTGGTGTGGCAATGTTGACAGGTGTTAGCACCTTTAAGAGGTGGGGACTAGTGTCAGATAATTAGATCATGAGGGTATCACTCTCAGAAGGGGTTTATTCTGGTCTTTTGGAGTGAGTTCTCCCAAGAGTGGCTTATTATAAAGTGTGTCCACCTCATTCCTTTGCCACTTCTGCACATGGCCAGTTCCTTTTCTGTTTCTTATCCATCCTGTGACCCAGCAAGGGCTCAGAAGCCAGATAGATGAGGCCACTCAACCTTGGACTTTCCAAGGTTAAACTGTAAAACTGTGAATTAAATAAACCTCTTTTCTTAATAGGTATTTTGTTATGTCAACAGAAAGTGAGCTAATATAAATTCTCTATAAGTTTACCTTGTCAGAATATAACAGACATGTTAAATATTCATGCAAGCATTAAACATATATAAAAATGACCTTCCTATTACTACATCTCCTTAGCCAGTTTATCAGCTTATTGAAAACAGAAACTGTCCATCCATACATCTCCCATAATAAATACATTGCACAGAAGAGGCATATAAATTGTATCGACAGACTAGTAGATGAAAGATAATAAAATGCTAAAGATTTCTGATTTAAAATGGCAGAATTGAATGTGACTTTTTCCTTTCCTTCCTTCTGAAATCCTAATAAAATAATAGAAACAAGATAGAATGAAGGAATAAACCCATGAGGACAAAAGAATGAGAGAAGAGATAAAAGCAGCAACAAATTTTGAAAGTGAGAGCCAGATAGATGAGTAATAAGTGGTCTAGTTGACTTAAGAATTAAATCCTAAGAAAGCAGTGTAGGAAACAAAAGTAATTAACTGATGGATTGTGGAATCCCTACTGGTTGGGGAAATGGTATGAAGTGCCTTTGGAAGTACATTGGGGAGGGCTAAGGGTAAATCTAAAATAAGCAAGTGGTTGAAAGTCTGTTTTAAAAGCAATGAGACCAAATTAAAGCAAATACTTATACATAAATTCTTATGGCAGTACTAGTCACACTAGCTAAAAGCTAGAATCAGTCCAAATGTCCATCAGCAGAAGAATTAGGAAACAAAATGTGTTCTATTCATGCAATAGAATATTAGTCAATCATAAAAAGGTTGAAGTACTGATACATGCTATAACATGGATGAACTTTGAAAAATATTAAACCAAGTGAAAAAAGCCAGTCATAAAAGATGACATACAATTACATTTATATAAAATATGTAGAATGTACAGACAGCCAATTGTGGTCATCAGGGACTAGGGAGAGATGGGAATGGGAACTGCTTAATGGGTTCATGGTTTTCTTTGGGTGAAATGAAAATGTTTTTAGAGCTTAATAGAGGTGGGGTTGCACAAGGTAAGTTATACAAAGTAGTACTGACTTCTATACTTCAAAATGGCTGATTTTCTGTTACGTGAATTTCACTTTAAAAAGATAAATTTGACCTCTGCTTCTGCACAGTTAAGTAATGCTCTTCTTCAACTTTTGCAGAAGACTGGCTATTTGTTCTTGGAGAAGGGCTCCACAGTGGTACACACCGCTTTCACATGAGAGTAGGTATACCTACTGAGAAACAGGGACTACTAGAATAGAGTAGAGAGGAACAAGCCTTCCATGCAGATTATTGACTTTGACATAACACTCAAAGAAACTAGGATCAGAGGTGCTACAAAAAATGGCAAGAGCACCCTGCAGTGAAGCTCACAGTTGACAAGTCTTACCTTTGAGCAAAGCAATTACAGGCAGCTTTTTAGTACCCTGCCTTTGGTGGATAGTTAAACATCACCTAACATCTAAAGAAAACTTAGAACATTAAAGACAGAACATAAAATATATTGGAGGAAAACAAGCATGATTTGGAGAAAATAGAGATGATGCAGACAAAGGGAAAATAAAGAATAGTTTAACATTCTCAGAGAAATAATATATTTCATTCACATATATGTATACAATTGTAATTTGGAGTTGTTGACTTAAAAAGACAACATGAGGAAGTTGACATATTTTCCTTTGTTCCTTTCTGATTAAGGAAAGGATAAATAGATGAACATTGCATTTTAAAAAATAGAGATGTTTGTTATTGTTAGATAAAGCAACAAATTTTAAAGAGACTATTTTCTAGAGTCTTTTAGGCAATAACTTTATTTGCTCTAGAAGCTTCAGAATTCTGCATATCTCTAGACAGTTCCATCTAGAAAATCCAGAACCCCTGTATACCTTTTTATCCTTTGGATATTAAGACATGTTATGAAGGAGGAGAAATGTTGCTTTCAAGAGTACTTTATATGGACATACAGGTTATGTACTGTGCGACTTAGTTAACCATATGAGGAAAGTGTGTGTTCCTTATGTTTTAGTGTGATAAACTTTACTAAATCTGGGCTCCCTTTTCCCCTTCTTTCTACTGCTTAAATTTTGGTCTCTATGACCCTTATTTTCTTCCTTTATACATTGACTTACATTACCACTTAACAAATTACTATTCATTAAAAAAAATGAAAGTTCCATATATATTTTCTGTCCTCTTTTCATTGGTTTTTCTAACCTACTACAATATTAGACTCTACTCTTAATTTCTGTGGCTTATAATAGGACTTGCTTTTATCTTTTCTAATTGCAGTTTTTGCACACTTCCATTCTTCTCCCCATCCAATATCCTAGCACCTAGCAAAAACAATTCTTCAACTCTATGGATTTGCCTGTTCTAGACAGTTGATATAAATGTATTCATATAGTATGTGTCTTTGTGACTGGTCTCTTTCACTTAGCATAGTGATTCCCAGGTCCTTCCTTGTTGTAGAATGTATCAGCACTTTATTCTTTTTTATTGCCAATCAATACTCTATTGTGTGAATAATGCTACGATGAACATTCATGTATAAGATCTTATGTGGACATATGTTTCCATTTCACTCCAGTATATACCTAGGGGTAAAAATTTGAGGGCATGTGGTAACTATATTTAATATTTTCAAGGTATCTTTTTGACTTCAATTATGATAATGTTCTCATAATTCATTCTTTACTACTGTTCCCCAAACTTGGGGGCACATTCTTCCTCTCTCTTACTTCTCTCATTCTATCATATAGTAGCCTTTCTTGCTGAGCTGCCTCTTGGTCTGTTCCCTTTAGCAATCCGTTGTCAACCTGATCGTCTTCAACCAGGAGCTTTTCATTATTACCATGTCCTAAATAACTCATTCTTGGTGGTCTTGCCAGCAGGAAATCAGCTGGATCTTCTCTCCAAAGTCTAGACATTCAACTTTTGAGTTATGTTTTAAACAGTATTCATCTTTCTGTCCCCACTTCCTCTACTCTGTACTTAGCTTTTTATACTATATGAAATGAGCAGCATTTGAGAGGGAATTATGAGGTCTAGAAACTTTAGGATCTCTGTCAGGGTTGCTTACTGAGGACACTAATGCCAAGGACTCTTTTAACTTGTTGTAGAATTAGTATGTCTCCTAGAAGCGATAATTTCCATTCCACTCTTCTATTGCATTTAATAATATTAGAATGGAAAAGAGGACACAACAATTGGAAGTGAACCAGGTGGGAAATAGTTTAAAACCCTTTTGTATATTTCAGAAATTTTAAAATATGAGAATCTACCCACACTTACCAAATTATATAACTACTCTAACCAATTTCTGTTGTTTAGATTTTCATAATATGAGTTTTCCAGTAGGGAGAGATTTGCCCATTGTTGATTTCCTTTTGTTGAATTTCTAATGCTGCCTTCCTACACATTAATTGTTTGGATGCCTATATTCTTAATTTGATTTGCTATTGTGTTTTTTTTTTAACTTATTTTGGCAATGTATGTGTGTGTTTGAAAATCAGTCTTATTGCATTATAAAAATAAGGGCTAAATAAATAATGTTTGCTTTAGAGAAATTAAAGCATATCTCTGGTATGGGTTGGATGAAATTATTTCTCCTATAGCTTGCTATGCCTGCTCTAATTAACCCTTTGTGATTTTCGATAAAAAGATATTACGTGAAAGCCTTAGAATCCCTGTCTCTTCTGAGACAGAAATAAGCAGATTGTATGACACCAGCTTATTGTTCTCTAAGCTTGCTTTGTGAGCTTCTGTTGTCACTAAATGTTAGACATAATAATAATAAAGGACATAGAAAAGACTTGAATGACCGTGCAGTGAACTTGTTGTTCACAGTAGATCTTATCTCTGGTGAGAGAGGTGGCACAAATCAGTGACTGGAGAATCTGATCTTTACTAAAGGATGTGATTTCTCTTGCTAGACCTTGAACAGTTTAATAGGAAAACCAGTATGGGATTTCCTTTGATAGTGGTAATGTTTTCACTTAAGTTTACATTCCATCCAACCTATGTAAGTAGGTAACACTGATTGACTTTCATGTATTTAAAGATGGAATCTGTTCATATGTAAGGACTCAATGTAACTGTGCTCCTCAGAGTTGGGTGGGTGGATGCCTTTAGAAGTATCTGTAAGAGTCATAACAAATACCTTTTCTCTAGCTAAATCTATTGTATAAACTAAATTAGATATGAGGTTTTATTAATATTTGATAAGGGTTGATTACAATAAATGGTAACCAAGTAAAAATCATGGTAAAGAAATGTTTAAAGTTCACTTTCAGATTTCTTTTTTTTTTTTTTTGGTGGTGGTCCTGGGTTTGAACTGAGGACCTTGTACCTGTTAGGCAGGTGCTCTACCATTTGTGAACCACACACCCTAGGTCCTTTTTAGCTTTAGTTATTTTTTTAGATAGGGTCTTGAGTTTTTGCTTGGGGCCAGCCTCAGACCATGCTCCTCCTACCTATTCTTCTCAGTAGCTGTGATTATAGCATGTGGCACCATGCCCACCTTGTTGGTTGAGCTGTGGGGGAGGTTTCACTAACTTTTTGCCCAGGCTGGTCTTGAACTGTGATCCTCCCAATCTCTGACTTTCTAGTAGCTGAGATTATAGACATGTATCACTATACCTGGTCTCAAGTTTCTTGAACATGGATTGTGATGGTCATGAAAGAGATGTGATTAGAACTGTTTATTTGTTCACAGACAAGCAGCTAGGACTGTGGAGCATTTCCTGATGCACCTTTGCAGTCATGTTGAAACTGTACAAGTGTTTCCATCACCCAGCAGACTCTATCTCTGGTTACATTAAGATATGATTCCAACATTTATTCATTGTTATCAAGTTCTACTTCTAATAAACATTTGATACATAAATCAATGTGTGTCATATTTATAATAATGCAGGACTTTTAAAAGTAAAACAAATACCTGCTTTCTCGTTAAAGCATGAAGTATCCTATTATGCTTTATTTAAAGAATGCACAGACATTCCTATAAGTATAGGAACAGATAATTGTGTGTTTTATTTTTCTGAATCCTTTCCATCTATTTGTCTCAAGAATGCTTGACAATTCTGATGATATAATTAATTCTGAGATTTTTGTATTCATTTTTTGGGAAAAAAGAGCTTTGAAATTTAACTAAATTGTTGGTCTTTGGTAGGGGGGCATAAGGAGGGACAAGATTAAGGGCTTGCATTATGAGAAACTAACCTAAGTAATTATCCGAGTACTGCTTTTTACATTAAGTCATACTTGTTTTCTGATTCTGTTTTTTCAGTTTCCATAGCAAGGCGTGTACAAGATCCATTAGCTGAGCTAGTGAAAATTGAGCCGAAGCACATTGGAGTTGGAATGTATCAGGTAAAGCAATGCAGATCATTTAATTTATGAAATATATCAATACAAAGGGCATAGTCAAACCATGAATAGTAATTAAGTGCTTGTGGGAATAAATTTCCATTTTCAAAGGTTATACAGTTTGTGGGAAGAGTTTTAAGTTTGTGGGAAGAGTTTTAAGTTAGGAGTTTTAAGTTGTCATAGCAGAAAAGAGTTCTTTTTTAACTCCTATATTGATAATTTTGATCAAATCTTAAAATTCAGCATAGTCAGATTTCAAGACTATTAAAACATTAGATCAAACAACTAACTTAATTTGGAGACTCTCTTCTTCTTACAGTATTATAAAAACGGAGGGAATGTGGAACATGGGGCCATGTTGTCTCTTTACACACACCTGCAGTTCCATCTGCTTGGAGGCAAGAGGATCATTTAAGCCCATGAGTTCGAGACCAGCCCAGGCAGCATAGCAACACTCTGCCTTAAAAGAAAGAAAGTCCTTCTTAAATCTGAAATTGAATATTACCTTACCCTCTGTATAATTTTAATAGGATTTCAGTGATAGGTATAGTAAGCACCCCTAATTTGTGGACTTACTTCATGCAGTTTTGACCAACTGTGGTCAGAAAAAAAATTCCATCTTCATTATGCAGCACAGGTGATGTGGAGAAACTCTCAGTCAGTCCTACTTTATCATTAGTTGTGCTTAAATCATTGTGTGATCTGCTGAGTATATATCCTTGCCTTTAATTTTCTGAAAATATACCTGCCCCAAAGCAAATGGTACCCAAAAAGCAAGATAAAAGTTATGGTAATCTTCCCAAGCCAAAAAGGGTACACATGTGCTTAATTTCAGTGATAAAGTAAAAATTTTAGATTTGTTGAAAGGCAGTATGTTTTTAGCAGAAGTTGGGCAGCATTATGGAGACAAGTCAATCATCCACAGTATTTAAGATAAAGAGCATGAAATAAGATCTAGGTTTTGATGAGCAGTATTAATGGCAGTAATTTTTATGACAGTTATGTAGCCTACTCCATGCAGTCTCAAGTTATGGGTGCTCAGCCTACTGTAGATATATACAGTATAAGTAAATTTGAATAACTTTAGATTATTGAACTGTACATCCTGAGCATTCACAGATTGTTCCTTTTTGGTGGTCTTCTTGGAACCATATACCAGCAGATACCAAGGGTCTACAGAACTATATTGCCCTTTCTTTAAAGAAATACTAAGTCATAAAATCTGTGATTACTAGAAATGGCAGAAAAGACCTTAGAAATCATACAACTCTACCCCCTCATTTCACAGAAAAATCAAAGGCTGTATCATTTTATAGCAAGTTGGCCAAAGAGCTATGATCATCAGACCTGTGATGGTTAATCTTTTTTTTTTGGCAGTACTGGGGTTTGAACTCAGGCACTCACACTTGCTAGGCAGGGCCTTTACCACTTGAGCCACTCTGCCAGCCGATGTGATGGTTAATCTTGGTTTTCAGTTTGATTGGATTGATAACTTGAGTGATTAGTAAAGCACACTTCGAGATGTGTCTGTGAGGGCAATTCCAGAGCAATTAACTAAAAGGGGAAGACTCAACCTGAATGTGGATAGCACCATCCCATAAGCTTGGGGTCTGGATAGAATAAAGAGCTGGATAACATAGATATGCTTCTCTCTGCTTCCTGGCCACCATGAAGTAAGCTTCTCTATTCCACTATGCCCTCCCCATCATGATGGACTGAAACGGAACTAAAATAAATCTTTCCTCCCTTAAATTGTTTGGCTCAGGTATTTTGTTCAGTGATCAAAGTCTGACTAGCACAAGACCTTTAAATGTCCTTGTCTGTATTTGAAAAATGGTTACTTGGCTGCAAGTAGATAGAAATGCCTAGAATCTAAAGTGTATAACTAGAGCAGTTTGTGATATAAGCAATTACCATGAAGGGGATTATAGTTACCTTGTTTTAACTATAAGGTAGTAGTGCAGGAAAAGAGAAAGATTTCAAGTTTATAGAATCCAGGCAGTCTAATGATCAGCATCAAAGGGCTCTTTAAGTAAATCACAAAGACCTAAGCTCCAAGTTTGAATTCAGAGATCATGTTTAATGTGAGAAAGAGTTTGAAATTTCTTCCAACAGCAGGGAGAAGTCATACAAGAGTTTTAAGCAAGGGAATGACATGATTTGTGTTTTTAAATGTTGACTTTGGCCACTCTAGGGAGAATGAATTAGAGGGGAAGAGGAGAAGCAGTAAGGCTAATTAGGAGGCTGTTAAGCCTGGCCAGGTGAGAAATGATGGTACTTGGACAAAGTTAATGACTGTGGAGATGGAAAAGAGTCTGTTTTGTAGCAACTACGTGCTAGTAAGTGAGGGAAAAGGAATTATGAAGGATTTGTTCCAAGAGTTCTGGTATGTGTTTCATGTCTAAGTAGAACAAATTTTGTGGGCAAGATCAGTTTTTCAGTTTTGGACATGTTGGTTTGAGAAGACCATAAGAATCCAAGGAATGACATCAAATAGGAGTTGGATCTATAAGCCTGAGACTAAGAGAAACAGCAATATTAAATTGGAGTATATACTGTTTAGCAAATATTGAAACTGAGAAAGTGGTGAAGATGGTAGGTTGAACACATATTCTTTAACCACGCTACTACCACTACCGGTGTATCAAAAGCTCCAGGTTGGACAGGAAAGGTATATATATGTATCTGCACCCATATAAGTGCATATTTATATGAATAAGTTGGGAATAACTGGAAAAACAAGAAAGGGTCCCATCAGTGGATGGAAAGATCAGGAATTCAATGACAGTCACAAAGAAAATACCCGATAGAGCTATAGCTCAGAACATATATGGGTAGTTTGTTACTGCACAAACTTAAAACTAAAATGATGAATTGAGGAAATTATTTGCCACAAGCTTATATGTATATTATGGTAACTACATATTTCACTGTTAAGATTTTGGATTTTTTCTTGTTGATTTGTACACATTTTCATGTTGATTCATATGAAACATTTACATGAAATATATGAAGTCTCTTTGTACTATTTACCATGAAAGAAATATAAATTTCTGTCTTTATCAAAAGCCCATATTAAATAAAGTGATATTATTTCAACCTAACAGTTGAGTAAAGTTGTAATAGAATAAAAATCTGTGTGGGTGAGAAAGATAACAGTGAAATCAGTATTCACATGTACTGCTGATAGAAATGTAAATTGCTGTTCCTAGAAACAGTCAATACTTGTCAAGATACAGTTTTTAAAAATTCATCCCTTTTACTTGGAAATTCTTTATCAGCTAGTTCTAAGGCATTAATGAGAACTGGTAATATCTATATATAAATTTTCTGTATGCACAAGTAACAAAATATTGGAAGCCTCTACTGTAGAAGAATATTCTGAAGATTTATGGCACACCTATCAGATGAACTATTATATAACTATTAAAATTCAGGCTTTTGAGCCAGTGAGGTAGCATGTGCCTGTAATCCTAGCTACTGATGAATCTGAGCAAGTAGGATTAAGAGTTGAAATCTAGTGTGGGTGCAATATTAAGACCCTGTCTCAAAAAAAAAAAAAAAAAACCAAAAGAAAGAAAAATATATATATTTAGGCTTTCAAGGAGGACTTATAACATGAGACTTTTCCTTCTTTTTCATTGTCTAAAGCGTTCTGTAACAAATATATAAGAGGAAAATTTTGTTGTTAAATATGTATCCATTTCCTTATCCCTGCCAATGGATCTCTTAATTTTATGCCTTGATGTAATGAATTTCCAATACTGTCATAGTAGAATGGCCTTTCTTTTTAATTAGGACCTCCCTGTGCTTTTGGTATAAATTTAATAGTTAACATTCATTCTGATTTAAAATATGAGTAGCTGGACAAACATTGCTGATTGAAACAATGAAAGCTGTTCAAAGAAAGAATGCTAAATAATTAGATGAAATAATAGACACTATAATGTTATTTCAATAGAAACTAAAATTCCTTTGGTTTAATAACAGCTAAAATGCTAAGGGCAGCACTCCAATCCTTGTCTTAGAAAACCAGGAGAGCTGATTTTAAAAACACATGCCTGTCATTATTTCTGGAGAGAGAGGCAACTAGTGTGGTCAAATGACAGCATATCCCTAACTGACCCCTGAAGACTTTGCTGGAAAGTGGCTTGGTGTTACTCCCAAAAAAATACTCCCGGGTGAGACAGGATGATGCAGGGTTGGCTGTGTTGAGTTCTGTGGGACATGGGGAATGGTGATTTAACTTGGCCTTGTCATACCTCAAGTTTAAGTTGAAATAAGTTGGATTTACTTGCTATTTATTTTTCTTTTGACTGTGTTCTTATACTTTCATGCTCATTAATACCTTCATTTGGTAACGAAGCATGTGCAGTCAAATAGGAAAGACTCTGAACAGCCCTTTTCCCCTCTTATTGTGCCTCTCTGGTAGATCACTTGATGATGTTAAATGATGAAATGGTTGTCCAAAATAAGTTTTTGGAGCCCTTAGTGGACTTTTTATACAGGCCATCTTTATTCCTCATTATTGAGGATAACGAGGAGTCCCTGTGAAAAGATAATCATCTTCCCAGCTGAAATTTTCATGGTAGAACCTCAAAGGTATTAATTTACATTTTATTTCACCACCCCCTCTGTGGTATCAATTCATGGTTAAAAAAAAATACAGATAAAGTCAGCTTTAGAAGCTCTATGAACTAGTGCTTCTGCATCTTTTGTGTGTTTGGTTTTGTGGATGAGGATTGAACATGGGCCTTGCACTTTCAGGACAAGTGCTTTGCCACTTGAGCTAAGCCCCCAGCCCCAAAACAAACAAATAAATAGAAACAAAACAACTATTTAGTTAGTTTTGACATAACTTTGTTACATATTTTTATAGTTAAAATGTAGGGATTGTTAAGTGTAGTTTTAGTTTAGGTCTGTGAAAGATAAGATTCCTAATCTGTCCAGTTTTATTTGCTCAGATCCTTAAAAACATTTAAATCTCTAATTATTTGTCATTG